AAGGTATTTTGACGTATGATTACTCGATTAAGTGCTTCACGCGTGCCAGTGTGACGTGTGTGTTTTTAAAATTTTTAATATTGCAGTGACAATGGAAACTTTTTTAACTAAGTTACATCAATCATATTTTAAAACAACTAACATTAAAAAAAACCTTATCTACCTACTCATATTGTAATTAGTGTGAGTAGTTACGTACAATAGAAAAAAAAGCAATAAAAGATAAAATCCATAAAATTTATTACATAGGCCATCAAAAGGACACCTGGGACACAATAACTTTTAAGTTATTCTAGGGACCGTCATACTCGTATAATAACTGTGGGATAAATTATATGAATCACAGGATATTTAAGAATCATCTTTATTTAATTATATATTACTAGCAGTACCCGCGGCTTCGTCCGCGTTCAAATTACTATAAAAACATACAATTTGGCTAGATGTTGGAACTAATAATAATTTAATGGCTGTATAATGATTTTCAAATGCGTGAGTATAATTTTGACTCGCGCATCGAGTGTTCCATACCACCGAATATTGTGTTGTTTTTACTAATATCTTTATTCTTTACACATTATTTTTTTACGTTTATACATACTTTATTACTTGCAAAAATAAGCTTGTGTGTCTTAAATTTATTATGGATAACAAATTTTAGTGATAGTAACTCAAAATATCCAGTATCTTAAAAGATATTTAACGTATATTTTGTAGTCTGTACATTCATTTTCGTTTAAAATAGTTAGCAAACTCCACTATCTCTATTTTTGGCACATTTTTCTACTCCATCTTTCCAAAGTTAGAAGAAGAGAGTACAATGATACAAATCGCATACAATGTTATATAGGCCCTATGTTATATAAACGTAAAACTTACAGTATCCCTCTTTTTTTAAGTTAAATCATCCGTTACATATAATTTAAAATGCCATTTTTTTATAGCTTTCTGCCCGCGGCTACACTCGCATGGAGATAAAAATTTCTCAGTTTTAATTTCCATTGAATTTATATGTTGTCATATCGAATTAGTAGTATTATATATACATCTTAATTCAGACTTCAGTTAACTTAGTCTACGCTAAAAAAGTCGCGAGCAGGATGTTAGAATTAAATTAAAACTCCTTTGTGTACCACATTGGTAGATGTTCTGTCTGGTTCTGGATTCTGCTAAAATGTTCATATGAGAAGCAATCCTACGCCTGCTACTTTTAACGACTGTTCCTGAAATTTATTGCAAAACAAACTGTAAGGAGAAATTACAAAATATTAAATTCCAAGGCGTAGACAGAGGTTATTCGACGAATGAATACTGATTCCCACCGACTCCGAGCATATCCAGCAAACACAGTGACCACTATAATGTTTTATGGATAACTCGCAGTCTAATTCCGTTACATAGCTTAGATGGCTTATTCATTACAGGCGTGCCAACCTTCAGAAGGAGTTAATGAGAAAAGAGGAAAAGAGGCCTGGTTGGTTAACACTGTTAAGGAACTCCATATGTTAGTAAACTTTTTAACCATTTACGTCACTAAATCAAAAGACCTATATTCTATTTCTGACAATTTAAAACACTGTTGGTCATGGGGCTCAGTGTACGTTCATAAAACTAAGCTAAGACTTCTTTTGTATATCTATTAGAAACATCAGAATACATTCTAATTAGGTTTTTTTTCTCGTACGCTCTATGTTTGTAATAGTTGTCACTGCTGTGGCCAGCTTAGAATTTGTCCATTTTAATTTGGATTCGAAATAATTTCCGTTCTCTATTTTATATCTCACCCAGAAAGACTGTAATGTGTGTTTTGGAGAATTTGAGCTACATATTATATCTATTTAAATATATTACGTACGGGGATTTCAACTCAGAGGGTGAGATTGAGCGAGAGTTTAAACGTAGCGTAAGCTGTTTCACCACTTTCTACAAGTGCAGCAGGATTTCCAGATGAGGCCACAGCTAATGTAATCTCCCGATTACTTTATAATTCGGCCAAAAGCAATATTTATTTTAAACAAAAGCTTTTTTATGTTTTATTAATTAAACGTCAATAGCTTTAATGCTGATTTTTAAGTTAACACGACTCTGATAATATTTTTACCCTCTCGGCTCTCAGGGAACGAATTTCGAATAATCTGACTGGTAACACTTTTTGCTTATTTTTTATCTTGAATACTTAATTTTAACAATAAAAATGGAAGATTTTCTTACCAAATTTACCATCTATTTTACCCCCTTACGGGATGAATTACAATAATGTAAATACACGTGTTTATTTAATTGAATTGAAGATCATTAATACCAAGTTACAAGTTTTTCTGATCATAAAATAAATTTTTACCTCCAAACATTACAACCTTTTAAGCTTTTAAAAGATGAATTTCGAAAAAATCGGACTTATTTATGTAACTATGGAATGAAAAGTTACAAGTTTTTCTGATCATAAATATTTTTTCGGTTGTATGATAACCCCAAAAAATGACAACGTACTGTACGTATGGTTTTATCTTAAAAGTAGGTTTCATACAAATTTTGATTTCCTATTTTACCCCCTTATGGAATGCATTTCGAGAAATACTAAAACATGTATTTATTTAACTATATTGAAGAGCATTAATACTAAATTTCAAGTAATTCTGATCTTATATATTTTTTGGGTTATATTATAACGTGTTTTCCCGTGAAATAAAAATAAGCCTATGTCACACTTCAGCCTTCCAACTATCTCCACACAAAAATCACGCCAATCTGTAGATATTCGTAATTTCGACGTGAAAGAAATACAAACAAACAAATAACAAACATACTTTAAGATATATAATATTAGTATGGATTCGTCATTTATAATGTTTATTTGTTAAATTTTCCATTAAAAAAAAGAGTTGTTTACCTACAATTAACAAATATTATTCATAGATAGTTTACATGCCGTATAGGCGATACTTTGACTCTCCGATTGACATTGAATCTCATTACATACAATTTTAGCTTGAGAGCTTTGTATTCTACTGAGTTTATGCATACTACATATGTACATATTATATAACAAATACACGAAAAGTTATTTAACACCTTCCCCTACTTCAATTCACTCTTTTTGATCATATATCTTTTTCACCACTTCTTGTCATTCATTCTCTGTACGAACTACCCCGAACCATCTGAGCAAATAACATTACTTTTAAATAAAGTATAATGTTATGTAAATATTCGATTCCGACAGTTTTATTAGAAAAAATAGCTATGTAGATACGTGAATAAAATCCTTTTCTGCAGGTAAAACAGATGTTGCCTGGATCCGCGCCATTTTAATAAAATATCCATTTATGTGGATTTCACATTGTGGAAGCACATTGATATTTAATTTTACTTATCATTAGTTATCGTACATACTTATCGTTAGCATATATTATGTATTATTTTTTACATAATACAGTGCTAAAATGGTAAAGATAAATAAAGTAACTAGAATATTTAGATAGAGACATCGAATGGGCTTACCATGGGTTTTGTTTATATTACTTTTTTCCCTTGGAACTTGCTATTTATTTGGAGAAAAAGAGAACACACTATCTCATTTCGTTTTGAGCTTTCAGCCGATGCCGACACAATGTCTCTTATGTATTCAATACGAAGTTTGGTTTAATTAGATAGAGGAAAAACAGCATAGATGAACTATGTATTCGTCTTCATTGCTTTTCAAAAATAAAATCCCTAAGTAGCATTTTACGATAGACCAATATTACGCGGTAGCCACTTAATGGGTCGGAATAAGAAGTAGCGTATGTGACTCTTTAGACCACAAAGAGCCTTTTTTAACCCCCGTCGCAAAAAGAGTGGTGTTATAAGTTTGACGTCGATGCCTGTCTGTGTGTGTCTGTCTGTGGCATCGTAGCTCTCTAACGGATGGACCGATTTCGATGCTTTTTTTTCATTTGAAAGCCAGTTTCCTTGCGGTGGATCTTAGCTATGTTTGGTTAATATCGGTTCAGCAGTGTCAGCTCTTTTCCAAAATGATGTAAGGCATTTTAGCGTATGATCACTCGATTAAGTGCTTCACGCGTGCGTGCGCGTGATTAATCGTAAAATGACAATTAATTTGCGTAGGAGGTTTTTTTAATTTTTAATTTATAATTATTTTAACTTCAGAAGTGTCATACACCTTTGGGGATAAATTTTCAAAAACCCTTTCTTGTATATAATATATTATATATGTAATTTATTTATTTATTTATTTATTTATTTATTCAACAATATTGTTCTCTCTATTTATATTGTATAATTTTAGACATTTCTCCATCGATTTTGATTTAACTATCATAGAAAGGTAAATTATTTTATAGCGAGTGACAATGTCTTCTTCAAAATACTTCATTTAGTCCAGTCAAGTCGGTCTGAAAAAAAGTCATGATACTTTTTTGATGTAAAAGTTTAAGTTCTACACCTTTTTATTAAAACTTTTTTGTCTAATTTTTACCGTTTTCGAGTAATTTCGAAAAAACATTTTTGGCAAAAAAAATTCAACCTTTGCCGGGGGTAGATGACACGAAAACCTTTACACATTGTTTTTGTATCATTAAAACTACATTATATCAAAAATGCAAAGTTGAGTGCCAAATTTCGATTTTAAACCTTATTTGACTGGACTATAATATACTGTCAGTCAGCAGAGTTGCGGCACGGCGCGAGTGAGCGAGATAAAACAAGATCATTAATAAAATTTTGAAATACTTAAAAGCTTCATCTGTAGTTTTAAAATACACTATAGCAAAAATTTATACAATTTATAAATTTATAAAATTTTGAGTTTTTATTTGAAAAATATTAAAATAATAACAAATACAAAATCTTAACCCCATATTCATCGCATCACACATAACATATTAAACATAGGCAGGGATTATCCAATGAAGGCTGCGCCTCTAAAGCCCTTTGCCGCACTTTATATAAATACTTTTTTGGTAGATGGATGAAAGTTTTTGTTGGTTTAGTATAAAATTATGTCACGTCATGGGGAGGGTTCTGTGAGCTCATATCCGTAAATATTTTATTTTTGTATAATTCATTTTAAGATTGTATTAACAAATATAAAATTCATACCTTAAAAGCCATACCAACAGTTACTAGCTACTTATTTACAGTCGTTTCGCTCGGGTGCATTCCTAGATGCATTACAGTAGCCTGAGTTACTCCAGGCCTATCTAACTTAAATCAAAATCGATTCAGCCATTTCAGTGCGAAGGAGTAACACATATAAACAGACATGATATAAACTTTCGCATTGATAAGAGTCCGACTTTTACTGTGCGTTAGTTCATCTGTTTGTAAATCAGCAATTTCAAAGGGAATGACTTTTTGATTGCACAGATAATAAATAGTGTAAATTAAAATTAATATTTATATATAATTTGCACGAATATATTTCATAGAAAGATTCACCGTTGAGAAATAAATACAAATAATATTAATATTATCATAACAGTTAATCAGTCCGAACAAAACAAATTACGGAATATTTTTTGTACAAAACTGTAGAATTGATAAAAAGTCTTATAACTTCCCAGCTAGCCATTAAGGATATTATAAGAGCTTCTTTAAACGTCTTATAATAATTTTGGATTGCCTTTCTACGAGTATATGTAAGTCCCTTGGGGGGCTTGCCCTAAATGAGTAGCACCTTACTGATCCTAAATGACAAATTACATACATTAAATATATAAGAAAAAATGCATACAAATCTATAAATAATAATTATATTCAATTTAAATAAAAAAATGCATTTAAAATATGCTTTTGTATGTAAAAAATCAACACATATCTCATTTGTACTTATATGTGATGGTACAACTATGTGATGGTACAACTATGTAGGAGATATAAAGTACACAAGTAAGCGCGCAAACACAAGTGCACTCTATTTCCGATGGGACAATAATTCGAAACGACTGGTAAGAGATCAGGTGCGGGCTTTATGTACTTTCCGAGACACGGTGGTGAAACACCGCTAACTTAGCAACTCCGGGCTATTATTGGGACTTTCATAACGGAAAGACTCAATAACTAATTTGGCGCGATTCGGGACTTGAACCCAGGACCTCCAGCTTCCAGAGATCTCCAGTCGTAAATGTTGACCGTACATATTAGTCGTACATGTTAGTTACTACCGACTCACTTATACTTATATGTATATATTATGTATGTACATATATCTTTCTACTATTTATGAATCATCGGTGAGAATCTTCAACTTCTATTTTCCATTTTCCGCCGATTCTCAGGTCTATTTGTATTGGGTACGTCTTACCTATAACTTCGCCACTAATGGGAATAAAATGTACGATCTGAAGCACAGTCAAACGTAAGTCAAAATGCCCTACAAGAGTCATTATTTTAAAAATATTTAAAGAAATATCACATTTTATAGTACTGCAGAGCCTGACACTGAACAGAAATGTAGTTTGTCTCAACGGTTTTCAGACGTATTGGAGTAGGTCGGATATAAGAGAGAATATTATTTTTAGAATCTTTTTCTAACAGCATTGTGCATCTATTATGTCAAGAGGGTTGAGACAGTAGTGTTCAAGTTCTAGGTTTTTTGTATTTATTTTCTGTGATGATTCGATACGATATTGAAGAAACACGTTTATATAAAGTAAAGTTGGTCGAGCACTATAGTAACGAGGATTCACATTGGTATACTGTATGTATGTAATGTATGTATTTAACAAGCTTTTTGCCTGTACTAGTTAGCTAGCGTTTTTAGGTTTCGAAATGAAAAGGCACCTTTTATAATTATATATATATATATAGTTATATATATATAGTTAATATATATATATATATATATATATATATATATATATATAATGTAATAGTTATGGCTATTTTAATCGGGGAAGTCGGAGACTAAAGGCGCTATATAGCTGAAATTTGGTAGATAGTTTTAAAAAAATAATATGGCACTCCTAACTTAGAACTATTGGGTGGAATTTTTTATAAGGTACAAGCCTGGGTATATCTTTTACATGGGTCTTCATAAATGCTAGATGTTTCAAAACTATTTTTTTCATTTAAGTCAAAATGTATAAAATATTTTAGGTATATGGTGGTACGGATTTTCAGTGCGCGATTACTTGTCTATTCTGAAGTTGTTAATTTATAAATAACGTGCCAAATTAACTAACTATCAAACAAATAACTAAATATTTCCATTTGCTTATTATTTTGGTTATTTTTTGAAAATCTCTATTAAATGAACTAGTTAGACTTTCAAGGAAAACTTCTTTAACTCTAAAATTTGAAACGATTATATCAGATTATTGCTTAATGGATAGTTTATAATTGTAAAGCCAATTTCCCCTTTTCTGTTTTATACATTTGTACCGTTTCTGTACAGATAACAGAACTCGACTAGCTTTCATTATCGCTCGCGGCAATCTTTGCATTTATTTGTTCAGTCCACTGGAAAGCTAGGAGCTGCGAAGGATTTATCAAGCGAGCATGTCTTAAGTGTCGCGCGTCGCGACGGATGCGTGTGTGGGGCGCAGCACCCCGTGGGGCGCGTCGGTGGTTGGGGCGGGGTGTATCGATCTTCGCGGGGCGCTTGCGCCGCGGCTCGTGCGGGCGGCGGTGGGCCTCGCGACTACTCGCAGTGTCACCCGCGCAGTCCGCAGCTGGCCGCCAGGCGAGCGACTGCTTCCGCGACTGTCCGCCCTCATCACACCGCAACGTTTGACATTTCAGACGCAGCGCGCGACAATATTACAACCTCAAACCGTTTGTCTTCTCACAAGGAATTGCTTTACTGCTGAAACTTTGAAACGGCCATGCGAATACTCGTTTAATGAACGGTTTAAAATAATTTTTGACTTTATAGTGTCTTTGTGAATTTACATAACTGATAAATAGTGTAAAACTACTTTTAATTGTGAAGTGTTGACTTAAATCATGTCGTTTAGTGTAAACAAACATAATTTCGAGTGATCGTGTAAGTGACTGAAAAAAAGACATCAGAAAGCTTGCTCACGAGTTAACGCCTCGTTAATTCAGAGGAAATCTGAAAAAAAGTGATTTTCGCCTACGTTTGCTCATCGGTGATAAAATTTATGACGAACGGTAAGAAGCATGTAATGATAAGGGTCGGGTGCGTTATCGCGGCGGGCGGCGGAAAGGGTGTTGTACCTAAATAGCGTCTTGTTGAATCTTATGATAATTTCTTTTGACTTTTCTTTTAAGTTGAAAGTATTCTTACATTATTTTATTCTTATGTTCTTGTATTGTGGATGTATATCCATATGACTGGTATGAAAACTAGTATGTGTTTTGAATATTTTATCGACTATTGCATACTTGTTATAAATGTTAGTTAAAACTTGATATTATTTAACAGTCCACTTTTATATTTTATTAATAGTTCTCTACATAATATATCACAAAACTTCGATTATTTTAGAAGTTACTTATTTCATTTATACCAAATATTTTGTGTAAATATTTCATAAAGAAATTAATTAATGTTTGTATAACTTTAAGATCTTAATATCTGCAGTAGATTTAGTTGTTATAGACAAAGTAGAATGGACTTTAAAATTCAGTTTAACCTAAATTATCATTTTGAAAAGATTTTGAGGAAACATTAATGTTTGAGAAGATTTAGCTAGTTTTCGGAAGACGTATACCTAAAGCTGACCAGCATGGTGAAATATGATCTGATCTTCCTCAAAATAACAGAATGCCCGTGCCTAGGGCGTAAATTCGTTCACCGAGACGTAAAAAGGGCTGAATTATTAACAGATTTTGGTTATAGCGGCTAATATAATTGAATCTCAATAATTACGAGGGTAATTCAAGGTGTGAATAGACGTCACATATGCTCAAAGTATGGGGGTGTAATAATCGCCAACTTTCCCACTCCAGGCTGAAACTAAGAATTTATCGAAAAAAGAAAACCGATAATCACCGACCAATCATTACTGGAGACTACAGCCTAAAATTATTTGCAGTCATTTAGACACTAGACTAATGATGCAGCTAATAAGTTTATGAAGTAATTTACGTTTTTAAGAAGTTCATGGCTTTCCAAGCCCAATATTTTAATATTTATTTAATAAATACAAAAATTATTATTATTTGTTATATTATAACTTTTTTCAGCTTTAAAGAACTAAACTAAATGATTTTATGTCAAACACCATTCACTTCTTTTTTCCAAAATTGAGACGATGAACAGAACCTAGAGTCAGTCATATAGGAATTTATGAAGAAAAAAACATACCGCGCATATCATTTTCTATTGTATAGTTTTTTTTACTTTTATGTTCTTATTTTTTTATTTTTTGGTATACATGTTACCTAAAGCACATTACTATGATAAAAGTTTTATTTTTTTAATACAAATTAATATATTTTAAAATTACTTTTAACACAACTAAAAATATAATATAGTAATACTAGCATTGCCCGCGGCTCCGCCAGCGTTCAGATGACCAAAAACCTAATTCTTAGGTTTTGCATATTAGTATACTCTTACAATGCAGTTTTTGTGTTTTGTATTTTTTCTCAGAAATGAGATATTTTCCCGCAATTAAAATTAGCCTATATGTTGACCCGGATAACCAGCTATCATCATACCAAATTATATCAAAATCTGTTCAGTGGTTTTCTCGTGATGCGATAACATACAGACAGAAAGACAGACAGACAAAAATTCTAAAAACTATAGGTTCGGACTCTGTATCGATAATAATGTCTATTTTAATTAGATTTCCCAAAAAATATTTAATGTACAGATTTGACTTAGTTAGAATTTTATTATATGTATAGATTCATTGATTTAAAAAACAGTATCCGTTATTAAAGTCCAAATATGTAGAGTCTACTCCGAACTGACTACACACTTCAAATTTTGCATTATAGAGATAGTGGTGGTCACATTGTAAAGATTGTTAGTGGTAAGTTGTGTTATGTAACGCCTAAGTACGGTTACAATTTAATGACATCTCCAATTTTGTAAATATCTCTTACATATATTGAGATATTTATTTTCTGATGATTTTCTAAATAAGCCAAATAAACAAATAAACTTTGAGGAGATTGCTCGTTGTCTGCTTTGGTGAGCTTTTAAAACTGTATTTAGGACTCACCCTGATGAAATTGTGTGTTTATTCTCAGTTATGTAAAGCTGTCCACATTCCAAAATGCACTGAAATCCATTAAGAAGTACCCACTTAAAGAATAACAGACACATTCAAATATTGTGTGATCTTATAGTAGTGTGATCTGACTGAGAGGAATTTATAAACATTTATTTATTTATTTTATCACATATATATTATTATTATTTACTCTTATAATTATCCCTATGTTTTGATGCAACTACTAAAATTAACAGAAAATCAAATATTTTTTTCAGAAATTCGGAAAAATAAAAAATATTATCAATATATGTATAATGTATATGTATATAAACTCTTGCACGACCAAGTACAATAATACGTTATTAAACATTAATTAGACGATGAAATCAAATCAGTTTTTTGACTAGATAATGGATAGGTATATAAGTAAAAGATCTCTTACCCAGAGGTCATGTGGAGTCATTCTTCTTCTTCTCCCTGCCTATTTCCCAATCACTTGGGGTCGGCGCAGTACATCTTCTGTACTGCTGATAGGATTTGGCAAAAGCTTTACGACTGGCCGCCTGCCTGACGTCAACCCTCCTGGGGAAGTGGAGTCATTCTACATTTCTTAATTTCAGGTTTTATTGACTATATGTAATTATCTAATGAAAATATGACCAAAATACTTATTTATTTATGTAAAAAAATATGATATTTTAGATTTGCTGACCGTTGTTTTTTAAATTATAAAATAATGGTAAAATTTATATATATTTATATATATTTTAGGATATTGAATTATAAGACCGGAACAAGTAATAACAACTTGTATTTGAGTTCCGTTGTACAATTTCGGCATCCAAAAGCGAATGTGATAAGCCGAAACACAATTTGCTCTCTGCTATAAGCCGATGGTACAAAAACTCTACACTCATTTTCGGAGCGTAGTTTTAGATTGTGTGAAAATTTATTACCAAGTCGTATGTCTTGTTGAAATATCTAAGTTTGGTAGCGGATGTTCGGGCGAGAGTCCAAGAATTGAGGGATTACGCGCCTCTCTGTGACCCGTCTTTTTGGCTCGAACTTTTTAAATCTAACACATTTCTCATACACTTTTTTTGACCTCATACACTTGTTATGGTAAAAGTCATTCTTCAATTGTAGTATTAGTTTTAAACTTTGAAAGCTTTTAAAAAGCTTACTTGTAAATTCAGTGTGTTTATCATTTATGTTTATTTGAAATATTAAAAATGTTTATGACACGAGATATTTCTTCGCCTGTACTGGACAGATTTAGGTTGATACGGTCTATTGCAGATTTACTACGATAGCAATAAAAAATCCAAACAATGGAAGAGAGTACTTGAACAGATAAAATATCTCATTACTTTTTATAACTTAAGAAAATAAAAAGGGGATCGCCTAAGGGAACTTGAAATTTTCTTTAGTAACCATTGCCCAGCTTTGGCTAAATAGTAATAAGTACGACAACGTTTTATCTGCAGACGGGGCCCAAAGCTTGTCGGTAAAATAAATCTTACCATAATGCGGTTAGTTCAATTTTGTGTGAAAATTAGGGGCATATTTCTTATATCTTTTCTCTAGGCTTGACTCGATTCGTATCACGTTGCTAAACTCACAAAGTAGAGAAAATTCACTGTTTTCTTTGGCATTTGTTGACCTAAATGCGGAAAGGGACGCTATCTCGTTTCAATATATCACATTATGAGCTCGTAAGTACAGTGTGACGTAACAGTATAGATATACATATGTATGTAAAAAAAATCTGTCGTATCATTCTAACGTACTGTAAACACGTAAAGAGTTGGCCTTTCTTTTCTATATTTCGCGAAGGAATTTATTTTATTGGCATTCCATGCGCCTTATCGCGTATTGAATTATCTCTCATGGGGAATGTGTCTGTTATTTTATTCAGGCTGCGGAGCAAGCTGTTGGATAGTGTTAAAGAGCGAATTGGCCGAATGAATGCTATATGCGCTGTGTAAAATTATTAATTTATATGTAACATATACAACATATATGATACATTTATTTTTAAACAAACAAATAATAAATATTTTATAATTGTTATTAAAATGTTTGGTTTCGACGTTAATGTTGTTAACAACATGTAAAAAATATACCAAAAAATTGGTCAAGTGCGAATCCCACTTGCTTGAAATAGTTGTGAATGAGTGACAGGCGTTGATAGTAATAGGCATTATATTTTTCTGTAAAGTACGAGTGTTAAACACCTAGGGACGAACTCGATAGAAGCAAGGGTAAGTTGCTAGTAAAATATATTTATATTCCTCATCAATAGGTACATCCTTCTTTTCTTTTATCACATGTTATTCTTGAAAATACGTTACTTTCCTTATACATGCTCATAATTCGAATTTATTTAATTACTATGTACGATTATCATAGGTCTTTTAAATTAAGGTATTTTTTAGATATGTTTCAGTTAGGGCTGGATTATATATAGAAATAGGGTGTGTCGGTCTTAACTAACCCTGGTTTATACCTATTGAAGAGCGGAATCGTAAAAATATAGATTATTTTAGAAAGTAGCAGATGGAAATAATTTAAACATACCTATATGATTTACGAAATAATTTATTTCTATACTTTAGAACTTACAGTCGTACATTGAAATATTTTTATTTGAAACTTAGTTCAATATTCCA